GGATTGTGATGATGGATTCGGCAATTGTTTCTGGGGTGGATTCGAGCGTTGAGTTTGTGATAGATTCGATAGTTGGAGTGGTGATTGGTTTGGAAGTTGAGGTGGCGATTGTTGAGTGGTGGACGTATGCGATGGATTTGTCGGCAGGATTTGCGAAGGATGAGAGACGATTTGCTGAGATGACTGCTGCATTGAATAGGTGGTGGTGGTGCTTGGTTGTGGTGCGCGTTGTCCGATTATGGCACGAGGCATCGTCGTCGTCGTGGCTAAACACATTCGATATGAAGACACTGTTGAAGTTTAATAAAAATCTTTGATAAGTCAGGAGTCGTTGATAAAACACCGATAGATGATAAGTCAGCGAATCGACAGTGGTTTTAGTAAAAAAACAGCTACGATAAAGGTAATAGTAATAGCGTTGCTACAGTAATCCATTCCGAGCGAAACTTCTTCCATAGAGCACCGAGCGAAAATTACTGGTACTGGTACATGGCGGACTCGTGTCCGGCTCTTAAGGAAAGTTCTGCTCGAAACCGATTGCCGTATCAATGATGTTATCACGCATGAACCAGATTTTGATTTAGCTTTCAACTGTTCAAACTACTGATTATAACCACAGCAATGATGACGATCAGCACGGCAATAATGATAGAAGAAGCAATGCTACTTGCTAATGGAATCACTAATGGGGTCTCATTAAACTGAAGTATGAAAACAAGTTAAAATGGCAACAAAGACTAGGAAATAAGTCATCAGCAAGGCTTTTTATGAGCCTAGAACAATTACCTGCTGCTGCTGCTGCACCAGACGAATCGAAGGCTGCTCTCCAGACATTATCGCAAATCGAATTGAAACTGTTGCTGTGATCATATTTATTGCTGTTCGGATCAGTGATACACATTATATCATTGTTCATATTACTAGCGATATTATTGAAGGTTTTTTGATAGTTTCCTTGAATTGCGTTGCTGACACTATTTTGCATGGCATTATTAATATTATTGCTATTATGATTGTTGCTATCATTAATATTCATATTACTGCTATTATTGATGTTATATTCAATTTTTTGAGTGATTTTCGGTTGTGGATTCAGCGTAGTTTGTGATGAAGCGATCGGTGACGGTTCAGAAGCAAGGAACGACGGTCCTTCGATATTCAGTTTCAGTAATTCCTGAAATTGGAAACAGTCAACTAAACGCTGGAATGAATGATAACTTTGGATGATCATTTGAATAATAACATCAACGAAGACGTTTCATACTGATCAATTGGTAACATTTTTGCCAGAAATTCCAAAAATTTGTACAATATAAATGATACGTGAGCAACATGCAGGAACACATCAATGGGAATAACCTGAATTAAGTTGTATTCATGATCGTCGTTGTTGTATGTGTCATTGCATGACGACTGCTGCTGNTGTTGTGTGAATGAAACATTAGGTGATTGATAAGGATTTGGTGTGGTTGTGCTTTGAGGATGAGAATTTGGAAGAATACAACACGCCGCCGGAGAAGGCGATAGTTTCATTGAGTGGGCCGAATAGTCCGGAATCATCTCGTCTAGTGATGGTGGTGAGTTCCAGAAGGTGCCGTTGCTGCTCAGACAATTAACAAAATCACTATTGGTAGTCGAGGTGGTATTACGGATCGGTGAATTCGGTTGTAGGGGAGAGGCTTGTGNACTAATCGTTATGGCTTCAGATATCACCATTGTTACTCAGTTACTAACGTGACATTAGTACTATATCGCTTAAAATGATTGGCTGTTTCATTCGACTGCCACATTGTTACTGTTTTCCTCATCGTTTATTTTTACTGACAATGGATTAGCTATCATCACTCCTGTACAATTATTTTCATTTTCATTGTTGGGATCCTTCTTATTGTTAGTATCGTTATTGTATTATTTATTATTGTTATCATTATTGCTATTACTGTCGTTATCTTATTACTGTCATTATTATTCAATTAATTTTTTGTTTATTTCCCTTCAATAACAGAATTTGATCGTGCATTCAGTATATTTACAAACTCGCGAACTGGACTTCATTCGTTTAACATGCATCTCATGCTATTACTCGGTGTTGGTCAATGATGACCTCTTAAAACGATGTCAGCTCTTAAAACGCCGATGAATGTTGAATGATTAAGTTGCTATTAACCTCGATTAAACATTTCATTGAATTTTCGAAAATCCTCAAATAAATCTCCTAAAAATCCACATTAATCCTGTTGAAAGTTCAGCTAAATTCCATGACAAGATTATGTCAAGTGGTCACGTTTATCAATGGTATTTGCTGTGCAGATGAAGAATGACCCTCTTCAATTCCTATCTGCCTAGAAAATCGTCTACTTTCCCGTCCAATTCTAGCGTTTCATTTTGGAATCATTCAAATTATACTTACAATGAGCTCCAAATTCAAATCACAAAACCCTATCTGTTAATGAATGCTGACATAGTGATTCCGTTACAAAAACGACGCCTTGTTCGCTTATAAAGCCGAAGTCAAATTTCTTTTTTGAGTAACAGTAGCACATAAATACAACCATTATATTGCACACATTACACAAACCACACCCTTGCTGTGTTAAGAACAGCAGCTACAGTGAATGAACTCATGCAAAAAAGTTTACGGAATTCGAAAGTGCAAAACTTCATAACCCAAAAACTTCTGCAATTCCGATGTCCAAAAATTCTTGATTCGCTTGAATAGTTTTAATTCTTAAATTCCTCAACACTTCATCTGTTCATGCGTATGCAAATGCAGCGATCTAATCGAAAATAATTAAAGACTAGTGATAGAATTGATGATCAAATTAAACGACGAAGGTAATTGAACAAGTCGACGAGGATTAAACGACTGACTTGGAATACTTTTTGTTTTTGTGCACCAGCTTTTGTTTGAGGAATTATTTTTAGTTGTTTTGTAGCACTTATGATGAAAGGTAGGTGGCCGATTTGTTCACATTAATCATTTGAATTCAGTGGAATAAAAGCGATCATTCTAATGACTCTTTAAACATTTATCATTGGGGAATCATTGAAAGTTCAGCTGAATGCACATATTTCCTTTGAAGTTACTTTTGTACTTGTGAGATTGGTCAGCTGTTGCGATCAATCAATCAATCAGTCAATTAATCAGTTCACAATATTCTCAAAAATAAAAATAAATAAAGAGCAAAAATTTATAACAGATTTTGATTAATGAATACAGTGTTTAATTAGTTTTCGACATATTTCGCATTTATTCATTTACGTACTTCGCTAGATGGTTATGAGGCGGAACTTACCAGGGAAACTAACTATTGTAAATACAAAAACGAATAAAAATGTAAAAAAATGTGAAAATAATCTCTTGAAAACGGTACAGAGAAATGGAAAAAAAGAAATTTTTTGACATTCAATCTGCTGAGAACAATGATGATAAGGTTATGAATGGGTGAGGAGTATGAATGATTTCATATATTACAGTTGGATTTTAAAATAGTTTTGCATGATGCAATGTTTCGTTTTCATGTAAATAGTAATGTTGAAAAAGTGAAGAAAAATTCGCCGAAATATTCACTGGCGTGACGAATGAAGAGTATGCGCATGTGCCAGGCATGAACCACGGATAATGATTCAATTGCGCAATTTTTGTGGAATTCTTTTTCGTTCCATATTTTTCGTTTTGTTCATTTTTGTGTTCATATGATACAGTACAACTTTAAACACGTCAAAATATTACAATTCATATGATTTTAGACTGAACTTTCACTTAAAATATTGAACTCATAAAAAAAGTTTAGTCGCTGCAGTACCAGTTACATCAAGGTACTCTAAATGCGTGTCACAGATATAACACCAACAATAATAATAGTATCAGATCTACGAAGATCTTTACATCTTAACCTTAATCTCATGCGATGTTACTGCAGTCACGAGACTTGAACGGGAACTTTTTTGAGCCAGTTGCCTAACTTATCACTATGAAATGTTGAATACGACTAAGAAAATGTAATCGCTTATTTGTTTCACACTTTGCCGGCTGGAATCTGATGTGAAATTCTGAATGAAAATTCCAGAATTCAAACATTTTGAATTTACGATTGCATGTCGCATGTATACGAGTGTGCATTAGTAGATGTGATGATAAGTTCATGACCTTCTTCCCTCATCCAATGCATTGATTACGAGGCTCACTTCTCGAGCCTCTTTCGGTTCGTTTTTCTTTTTATCAGCTCACAAATAAATTTTCTGCCAGCACAATAAAACACCCAAGTACTTTCATCGTACTTTCATCATCAGTTTCATAATGGTTACTATTTTCATTCAGTGAAATCATTTAATGAAAATTTATAGTTGCAATTTTTGAGAACAGGTTAACTTTCGCTCGTCTCGCAAGCTATTTTCGGTCACTCCCTGCAGTTTCCCATGCGGCGAAAGAAAGCCATTTAGAATGGGTGATAATGGGAAGGAAAAGTTTTGATGTGTTTCTTATGCATTTTTCAGTTTTTCAGTGTATCCATTCGAGTGGTGTGTGAATGTGAGAATGTGTGAAGTTCGAATAAACAAACGAAATTTACAAACTAAAAACCATCTCAACACAGCAACAATAGACAGTTTGCCATCTTCAGTATTGAACGTAGTGAGCACTTTTTCATTTTTTTTTTGGAGACAAGAAAACGTTCTTCGGATGGCCGCCGAAACACAACAGATTCAAAAATCAGATCGTTATATGATTAAATATGATCAAAAAGATCAGATCGATACTTGTTGGCGTAATTTCAGTTAAGTAAACGCAACGAATTTTTTCTGCTCTTTTTCAAATAAATTGCCGAATAATGAATCAAAATTCAAAAATTTGACATTGAATTCGCTTCGTTCACGTGCGTATTTGTTTGAAAATGTCATGTGAATGCACGGAATAATTTTTTGATGATGCCACAGCAGATGCATGTGAATGAAGAACACAAGAAGGAGAATGCGAAGAAGACCTTGAACAGAACCAATTTTAAACGCCGATTCGTTTTTTTTCTTCACTTAATTCATCGACATTTTCGAATTTAAACGACACTTTATGTTAGCGTCATTCGTGGCTCATCATCACCATTGATAATGTCAACAGCAATCGAACAGTTAATCTCCTCATCACTCCATTCAAAACTATTAATGGACTCTTTGAGTGCTTTATGTTTTTAAATTTGCACCGATTTTCGACGAACTCCGATTGCAGCAACGACGACAAAACAACGATTCTATCGCCTCGTGACTGCTGCATTCGTATTTCAATTATGAATTTGAGATGGCAATCAAAAATGAGCACAATTAGGTCAATGGGTAAATAGCTCAAAGTTCAATAAAATAAATAAGAAGACACTAACTGGAACTGCTGAATCTATGACGTTCGGTTCACTCAACTACTCCAAAAAATGATTTGCTTTTGCAGAATTGGACGGCGAAATCAATTTGAACAATACAAATGTACCCAATATATTTCGAACAAACTACGAGAAATGTTCATGCCATAGTGATGAGGAAAGAACGCAGAATTTAAAAACAAATAATTTTTCGGCTTACTGAACTGAATTGTTTCGTTTTACTGCAACTATAAATTGTCATAAAACTTCCGCAGAAGAAACAACTTTCGGAGATTTTAGACTGGTGGAAGAGCTGAGGAAAAAGCCGATACAAAGTTGTGAAACGATTCATTTATGTGCTATTTATTGCTAGAGCACACAATATCTTACTGTTGTTTATGATAATAATTGCTACCTACACATGACGGTACTTATTCTTCGGTCAACTTTTTCATAAGATTCTCGTATTCATGATTTATGAACACTGTTATTATTATTATTATTACTATTTATTATTATTATTGTTATTAATATTATTATTATTATTGTTATTATTATTACTATTATTATTATTACTGTTATTACTGTTATTATTATTACTGTTATTATTGTTACTATTATTACTGTTATTCTTATTCTTATTATTATTATTATTGCTATTATTATTACCATTATAATTATCATTATTATCATCATCATAGCAATTATTATTATTATTATTATTATTGTTATTATTATTATTATTATTATTACTATTATTATTATTATTACAGTTACTACTGCAATTGTTAAAAGTGCAATTATTTTCCACATTTCGTCATCATCCTCATAAAACGATTCGCAAAGCACCGACTGGTACCAATTGATCGTACCGACCTCCCCACACACAACGATTATGTGAAACGATATTTTATGCGATTTTTTCGCAGAAATAACATCCTCACAACAACGAAACATATGAAATGGAGCAAGCAGCTCAATGGTGTTTGATGTTGCTCATCAACATTCTGCATTCAGCTCATAATTGGGCCACTTCTTCGCTTGTTAACACCACCACTATCTCAAGAGACTGGAAACCGTAGAAGAATGCGCATAATAAAGTGAAAATGCAATAAGAAAGTGCGATTTGTCACATTACGATTGTCAAATTTACATAGAATTTGCATAGTACCATGCAGAGTTGTGGTACGCACCAGTCGTGAGAGAGGTGACTGGGAAAATGGTGATTCCGGTGGATTTTATAGGTAAGTGACTTTTATGTGATGATTCTATAGGAGGACAATGCATGTGACTGATGATTTCTTTCACGGGAATTTGATCGATCGCTCTGATCTGGATTGAATCGAAGAAAATGAGCAATTTGCAGAGATA